ATGGGATATTGTAGCGACTGGTGCGATTGGCGTGCCAGTGCGGTAATGTACAACAGCGGGAAACGGTAAAAAAAAAATACTTTGAACCTTGAACTTTGATGTCGGTTACCTCGAATGAGGCTGCAGTTGCTGCCCGCACATTGTATTGTAGCCGTAAGCAAGTCCCCCAAAAAAACAATATCACGGTGTAACGCCTACAATAATGCAATGCTACAGTAGATGCGCGTATTTCCTGACGCGATGTTACCTCGCTCTAATACACAAAGAAGCGGCCTTCGTGATATTTTGCAAGCAAAGCTCATTGCCCCATGATAAGCATCCCGCAGCTCTGACGCCAAGTCTGAGCCTCTTATCCTCGGGGCCCAGCGTTGCTTAACATGGAATGCTTAACAAATCACGATAATTTCGCCATGCATCAGCCCAATGATGAACTCGTAGCTGATCGTATGTCTGTCGCAGCTCGGCACCATGCAGGCTACATCGAACGGATTGAATGCTGTGTTGACTTGCCCGCAATCGAACAAAGAATCGATAATTGGGGAGGAGTGTGGTATTGAATAGACGACAGGGCGTTTTCGTACGTATATTTACCTCGCATTAGATTTCGCTCCGTGTCATGACGACTCTTCCGTCACTAATGGTTTACGGATGACAGAGCGCTGGACGGCAACCCTACGCGACTGCTGGACATTCCAGGGTACCGAACGGAAACCATAAGACAGGCTGCTCCATCCAGAGTGGCCGAACGAGGAGAAATTGGTGGACCCATTGCGCTTGATGGCTCACTGATGAGTCAATTTCGGATTAAAGAAGCACTCGCGAATCGGATGAGCCGGTAGGCCTCCTGTTAGATTGGTTGGCCTGGTGTACAATACTGCACCACTGTATACTGTAGTACAGTACAGTACAGTACTCTACCCTGAGTCCGTGTTCTGGATTTCACCACCGCCACCGCTGTCCACTTTTGGAGGATTCATTGCATCTAGAGTGCCGAATAATGGCGTAGGGTACTGTAGAAGGTGATTTGCCAGATACCAAAGTCCAATCTCCTCCTGCCATAGTTCCTGCGTCGGCACCCTGTATACAGGTATCATATCTTTACAGGCAAGCTGTATCTATACCGCTCATCTGGCGATTGGTAAATGATGCGATACGCAGTATTGAGCAGTCTTTTGGCAGGTGCTTTCGCCATGCCAAATGCACTTAGCCCTGATGACCCTCCTCCGACCGTGCCACTTGCGCCATTTCACTGGGACCTTCATGCGCAGGAGGCCAGCATCATTTGCAGCACACCGGGGAATGTGAACATTTCAGCTTTTGGTTCAGTCACCAAATATGGGTTCGAGCAGGCCGTGAAATACTTGGAAGACCTCGGAAGTCAGCCACGAATGGATGCTGGCCCGGCGTCTTGCAGCCGCGTGAGCTGTTCTCATTGGACTGCTGTGTTCTTATGCAATGATGTCAGTCTCGCATTTTGCTTTGTCCTGTCCGCTTCAGGCTAATTCAAGTATTAGGCCAAGGCTTCCAAGACACTAGAGTCGTGGACGGTAGTAGCCAATGCATTGAAAGCTATCCGTGACAGATGCGGCATCTTTCCTCTCACGGATTGGCCCTTGGGTGGACAGATCTTCTACAAGGCAGGGTGGAACGTGATTCTGCGTGAGTCTGACTGCTGAACTAGATAGCTGTATGTTGCTGTGCTATCATCAGCACTCGCGAGCCAGGCCGCCTGAGCACAGATTTCGGAGTTGTGAGTAGCTGTTACTCTGCCAGCACAGCACGTAGCGACGAACAGGATAACAAATGAATAAGAATAACCTGTTTCCAAGTAGAACAGTGCATGAAGGCGTGCGGGCCTTTAGCTGAGGTCTTTTTGATCATTCCGGACTCTTCCAGGTCCCCTCTCCAGTGGCTCCAGTCGACGAATTAAGTCGTTTCCTAGTACAGCTTTGGCGGTCAGTAACGGTGCTCCAGAGAGAGGATCCAGCCACGGCGGTCTGAAAAATCAGTCCAAGCACAAATTATATGAAGTGCTGCTCTTGAATGCCCCCTTACGATACAGTACAGTACGCATCGGCCCCAAGAAGAGATTATCGGAAAGGGCGAACATCAGGGGCCGCAGCGCCCCACTACTATTCTTGACTCTAGCAAGTAGATCTGGAATCCAACGTCACAATCCAGGATGCCGCTGACTCCGTTGCACACCCAAGCGATAGGTTCCTCTAGGGGAATCTGTCGTTTGCCAAATATAAATCTGAGTCCATCTTTCTCGGCCGGCGTCGCCTCTGCGATTACTGAGCCCCAGGTTGGCTGCTCGGGGACTTTGTGTTCTCTTTCCATGTTCGTCTTCCCAGGCTCTCGAAAACAATCTTGACGAGACAGCCGCCGTGGTGTAACCCGTGGCTTATTTGTGTTTTCCTCGAGGCTCTGGCTAAGGGACCTTGTCATAGACGGTAGTTGATGATGCATTTTTTCTTCCTCGCAACTGGAGTTAGTTGTCGCAGTGTTCATGATCGCATCGCGCCGCGAGCTGCTTCGCTGTATTCGCGCGTCAGGTAAAGCTGCAGAGCGCAGTGTTATGGTCATAGCAATGTAATAGCTATTATAAAGCAGGAGTACGAACCAAAGTGCCATTTTCTCGGCCCAAGTCGGATGCTTGTTGGTCGCCGGAGAAGTTGTCCATCTCCGAGAATCTGCAATCGCCAGCTACTCAGTACGTATTTGGTAGGACGATCGCTAAAGTGATTAAAGTCACTGTAGGTGCTGGTGTTTTCCATGAAGGCTTGTTCGCGTTCATCGGCGTGCATGCTCCGGTGGATGGAGGTCCTTCGTCGGTTTATTTCCTGACTTTTGTCGCTGCTCCCGCAACGACGCTGTGATACTTACAGCCAGATTCTGACGTTTCAGAGCCCGCAGCCACGTCATTGAACCTCACCCCATTTTAATGTTGATGAAATTGGCTGCGTAGCTAGAAGGAGCCTTTCGGCCGGTTTTACCAGGGTAGTGGCCAATCTTGCCGCATCACAGAGCATGCTACTCCAGATCGCCTCCTGCCTTCGGTCATGCGGTACCGGCGCCAGAATTGCGATCACTGGACATGCACAGAAGGAGCAGACACAAGAAGATGCGCACAGCACACAAGTACGCCCGATGCAGGCTCCGAGACTCAAACTCAACCACTTTGAGTGAAGAATTGCCAGGACAGCTCACGATGGAGGCAGGTCTACGTATGTGATGTAGAAGCGTGGAGTGAGCAGCTGCGTATACTGTACAGCATAGTGGCGAGTAGGGGCAAATGCAGGCCATATTCATGTTGAGCTACCCTTTACAAAAACACCGTCCTGCACAGGTCCCGTAGCTGCCATTCTCATACTTCCACATCCAGCATTTAGAGTCTGATGACTTAGTGTTCCATGCTACAGTAGCTAAATACATGATCTGCCAATTGGCCGCAATATTTTATCAACATGAAATTGGTGACTTGCAATTGAGTTAAGCTAAGCCGGACCACAATCTCTGCGAGGCGACAACCTGCGTCAAGTCTACTTTTAGTAAAGATCAGAGACGCCGAGCTCAAATCTTTTACCCATTCGAAGTTTGAATGCGACAAGTCGCAGATAGATGCCATACATGCGACCACACTCTCGCGCACAGCTCTGCAGCTTGCAGCGGAAAAGGATGGAGCGACAATCATGGAGTGGGTCGATACCCGACTCAAAGCCGAACGTCCGAGGCAAAGCTGGTCATATGTGGGAGGACATACCACAGCACCTGACGTGATTCTACAAATAGCAGAGCTTGCGAAGACATTGCTACGTTTCCACCATCTGCCTGGGTAAGAAGCAGGAGGCGCTGTCTAAGCGACGGAGCACCAGTGCAGGCAAAACGGCGTATGCAGTAACGCTATGTGGTCCAGTACATTGATGTATTGAGTTGCAATCCGAGGGATACTTGAATGACAGTCAAGTAATCTCCACGACGACTCTAGTAGTCTCGAGCAGTTTTGCTTGCTGTTGTTGATCCAATTTTACGTGAGTGTGACAGCCCTTGGAGTCTAATATTGTCCCTTCTCCATTCTCCAAAACCACATTTGACACACCATCGCCGCACGAGGCTTCAATTGAAAGGCTTCCAAGACAGGCTTTCAGACATTTCGCCGGCCAGACTTCTCTGCCCGGCGGACCACCCCGCCATCGTCTCTCGTCGGAGTCCCATGTCAGTGAAGGGTTTTGTCCGGACCTGAGGTTGACAGTAATGCTCAGGGCGGTGAGATTGACGGTTCTTGGGATATTTTCCCCGCCCACTGCCGGAGCCGATGGTGCCCGTGGCCGTCCTTGCGTGCCTCGTGCCGTGAGAGGATACCTGCTGGGCTGTGCGCCACTGGAGGAAGCTGCCTGGCCGCCGCTCCACTCAGAAGCTCTCAGGATTCCTGGCTTTGCAGAGAAACTTATGTGGCGCTGGGGCAATGCTGGACCCTGCCCATCTCTCGTTTCAGTTGGATTCGAAGCTTTTGTGGAAGGTTCAGGTGTGCAGTCGTCACTGCTATCCCCCCAGTCCAAGCTAGAAACCGAGGAATCGTCCTTATCCATTCTTCTTCAATGCTGTTTGCTTGATGCCCTATGACATCGACACGACCACGCGCGGTCTATATATCTGTAATACAGTACATAGTTGGCACCTAGGTCCTTCTTTAAGAGACTGAATCAGCACAGAAACGTAAATCGACGCCACAAAGCGACATCCAGCCATACAGGACCACAATCCGGCTCGGCGTAGAGAGCCCGTGAAAGACGTAACGGCATCTAGACTCCTGATGCACTTGCCCAATTAGGGCTTTTAGTTCAATTCCAATAGACCAAAGATGCCGCGGAGCCAAAGTGCTCTCAACAAAACGAGGTGACACCCGCCCATTTAAACATCGATTAAACTAGACGCGCCTAATTTTTTGCCCTATTTACAACTCTGTGGCGCCTGGTTCTGCAACCAACTCAGCTGTAGACATGATATACTCCTGGAAGAAAACAAAGCAGCAAATTGAACATTATGCCTTGTATTTGACTATTGCAGTTTCTCTGGTGTCGATCTCTGCAAGTACAGCGTTTCACTTCCTGGCGCGGGAGTCGTTGCAGGAATTCGTGGCGGCTATTGTTGCTGTGATATGTACCTCATCACTGACTCGATTTGGAACACGGGGCATCGTTACCCGAATGCAAGAAAACGATTATGAATTCGCAGCCGGGCTATTCAGCGGCGTTTTCGGGTAAAGTTGATTATTTCCCCCCATAGATCCACTACTGAAGTGTTGCTAGAAATATTGCAGAGATTTGCTTCGTGATCACAGCCGTGGTAGATGGTAAACATCTGATTGCTAAAACGGCCTTGACTGGTTCTATCGTGTCCAGCTGTCTTATGACATTTGGCACCTGTCTAGTGTGCGGGGGAATTTTCCATAAGCAACAGTTTTACCCACTCGTCATAGCCCGACTGAATGCGCAGCTGCTCGTTGTGAGCTTGGTGAGCGTGACTCTCCCGACCGCGTTTCAGCTGTTTTCCAAAGGTAGCTCTCTCTGGAGCCAGTACAACAGGACACAATTCTAACGACACGTAGAAAGTAGTACGGGATTGATTGCGGTGTCGCGTGGCTCGGCAGTGGTCCTCTTAGTTGAGTTCTTTTGCTACCTCTGGTTTTTCTATCACACCCACGTGGACATTGCCTCAGATACGCCGAGCATACAGTCGGCTCTGGTGGCGTCCGGATTGTCAGCAACGCATGCTGTCCCGGAGCTGACGAACTTACTCAACGAATCCAAAGGAGCATGCTCACTACGGGCTCTTCGTGAGGGAGCCCTCGAATTCCACCCGGGCATAGGCAACACCCGCCGTCCTTGGTATATGGATGCTCTAGTTCTAATATGTGCGGTTGTTGGCATGGTGTTCGCGTCAATCTTCTTGCTTGAGGGCGTTCATGCTCCTACACACACGCTGCATCTCTCTGAGAGTTTCGTTGGACTCATAGTAATGCCCTTGGTGTTGGCGTCAGTTGAGTATGTTTCGCATGCACTGCGGTGTCGCCGGGAAGGTATAGCCTGGATAGTCGATGCGGCGTTCGGCTCCAGTATTCGGATATCACTCTTTGTGTTCCCCGTCGCTATTATAGTTGGTTGGGCTACTGGTGAGGTTATGGACATGATCTTCGATGGCTTCCAGGTGACTATCATTGGACTAGCCATATTTATGGTCAACCACGTGATTCACAATGAATTCGCGCATTGGTGGGTTAAGACCTTGCTTTTATTGCGCTTGCCAGCTGACCGGAATAACAGGCTCGAAGGAAGTATGTTCGTTGCGTCGTTCCTGTTGTTCGCCATTGCTTCAGCGTACTACCCAAATGAAGCATAGCACAATGTGCCCATATCATGGCAACTTGAGTTCAGAATTGAGCTGCCAACTGAGCCGCCGCTATATCATGCTATTGTATACGAAGAGCCTCAGAGCCGTATTTCTCCGGATACAGCACCAGGGGGGTGATGGAGACAGTCCCTGTTATTGTAACATGCTTTGAATGATCAATTAGAATTGGAATAGAGCGGGTAACAATCGACCTCTTGAATAACCCCAACAAAGTCTGGTCTGCACCGTATTAAACGTAAAATAATGGGGTCTCTATATTGCAGAAACTTCTCATGCTTGTTTTTTCCATACCCATTAAGATGAAGCAGATTCTGCGGTGGCGTGCTTCAACCGCTTCGATTCCAAACAGCATTGCATTTGCACATGCAGGTACTGTTGCCAGGTCATGTTTGGCCTGGAGTTGGCTTAGCGAACTCGGTCGGGGCAGCCGCCTCAGCTCGCTTCCTCTCATTATAGCCTTATGCCGTTTTAGGGTCTTGTGTGCGGCACCACTGGCCTTAACCGTTGTGAAGACCCGTCTCCAGCAGCGTGGCTCGAACGTTGAAGCTTATAACACGCCTTGAGCACGTTGTTTCGCGCTGATCGAAGGCACTGAAGCGCATCTGTGCTCTTTTTCGTCATTCACAAGAGGACGCCACAAATTATGCCTCCCCTGGTCGTACAGCATTATGACGTCGCGCTGCACGCGGGCGAGGCCAAGTTTGAGCTGCCTTTTAGGCTGGCGACGGCACAACCAGTCGGTGGACCGATTGAGGCTGTCATGATGGGATTGCTCATGGATCTTGTGCTCCTTGTCGCAGTATTCATTGTCAGTGTTGCATATGTGGTCAGCTAGAAATGCTCTCCGCTACCGTACCACGTGCTGGCCAACAAGCTGTGTTACGTCGCTGACTAGAGCGATTTGCAATACTAGCCAGAGCACTCACTTGATGAGGCGTTCAGTGAGATCAGAATCTTCATGAATGAGCACCGTGGTGATGCTCATGCTGCGAGGGACTTAAAGCCCCAACTCCTACTACAATGCACTAGCCAATGTGACAGGACCCGTCGAGACCTTCCACGCCAAGAGAACTTCATCGCAGCCACATGGCCGCACGTGAATGCTACGTGGACATTGCAGCTGTTGCCGGCAAAAAGTAATCCAGAAGCGGGCCCGTGGAAAGAACACATCGTGGACTTGCCACCGAGGTAGGCTCTATTTACTGTGAATCCCATCCTTGACACGATCGCAAAACTCGAGTCCAATCCTGATGCGATATGATGATGGGGTAGGCGCACCAGAGTAAGAAGCAATGAGCTTCTCAAAAAGAGCTGCGGTGTGATGCGCCGATGGCAACATGAGGGCTAGATCACTCCGCATCGCTTCTTCTGCTTCACGTATCCGCTCCAGTGCTTCCCTTACGTCCGATAACCGGACACCTGCCCGACCCCAAGTGCTCGAATCCACTATTATTGGATTGAGCAGGCGCTGTATGTCGAGACGAACGCGAGCGGCGCCGCTAGCTTCCTCGAGAGAGTCTGTGTGCAATACAGAGTGCAGAAGATGTCGACAGAAGGACATGTCGACCGTTGGTGGGATGTCGCTCTGTCCGACGAGGCAAAGAGCAATGTAGAGAAGCAGAACCTCAGATTCTCCTTCGTTTTGCTGGAAGACGGGAGAGGAGCGGTAGAACCTTCCACCTGCAACGGTTCGAACACGATCAAGACCAGCGGTAGAATCGCAGGAGCCCTTTGGATCGTAAAGAATGACGGGGCACCCATGTCGAACCCGACCAAGAATCCAATGGTCGTTGCTGACTTTCACGGGCACCAGTCGCGTGACATTTTCGGCCAAGGATTCATACGTAATCGTGGAGCCAGGCTTGGCAGCCTCAAAGCCTGCCGCGAAGTCGCAAATGCATTCGAGAGCCTGAAATACGAAATCGGGGCCTAATAGATGCCCAAGCACTAGGCTCTCTAACCATGACTCGAGTGCCTCGTCCACACCGTCAGTGAAAGGTCTTGCTCGCCTTGGTCGTTTGACGTATGGCTGCGGTGTGGGGCTTGACGCATGGCTTTCTTGATTGCTAACATTCTCTTCAGAAGTGGGTGAGCCTGGTATCATGATTACTGACGGGCATGGAGAAGCTGATGCCGCGCGCCGTTTCCTTTGCTGGCCTTGATCATGCTGTTCGGTGACGGTCTTTTCACGCTGGCCGAGGCATTTAGCAATGAATGCAACTTGGGTTCACCTGCGGCATCTTACGCTGCGTTGACGGGTCGGCGACGCTCTGCTGGCTGAATCTGGTGGCATGGAATCTGACTTGGAGCCATACTCCGCGTGACCAGTGGATGTGGAGTTGGTAGGTGCGGATGATGCTTGCAGAAAGTCACGGGGTACGGAACGCGTTGCTGGCTTCCCAGGACTGGTCCGTGAAGGCGTGCCGGCTGTTTCACCCTTCGCCATGTCAGCCATAAGGCCCGCCGGGAGTGCCGAGTCCTACCTGGAGATCCTTCAATGCCGCTACGAAGTCGACAGGCGTCAGCCTGCCTTTGGCGGAGCCTCGGCTGTAACCAGACACCCGTCGGATGTGCGCGTTTTGCAAGGCTTCCTGGACTGCCGCCCAGGGGAAGAGTTGAAGCGCTCGCATTGCCGGCCGCTTCTTGGTATGGTCCGCAACTTTGCCCTTATCGAAGTAGTCCTTGACTTGCGGTGTCTCAAGGTCCCAAAGAGGAGTACTCGAGTAGCAGCAGTCCCAGGTGCATATTCCCGCACTCTCCTCCAACATCTGCTTGAAGACATCCTGTCGTAGTTCGCCACTGTCAAACAAACGCGCCACCACCGTATTGAAGTCCATTCGCTTCTCGTTCGTGAGTCGGGATCGCACATGGTCGGCGTAGTCCAGAATACTATCCCGAGGGCCAGCAAAGGTTCGACATCGCGGGAGGCCGTCGCTCGTCAAGTTAAGCGTTTCGCATATATCTGGCGCGGAACGGCTCATTGGTACGGATTGTCGAAGATCGGATGATGCCAAAGGTTGATGGAGAGCTCTCGTCGCGAAACCTGAACTTGCCGGGGTGGTAAGATTACGAGGTGCCCAAGCTCGGCCCTGATTGGTCCGCGACATAAACAAAAGGCTGGATGACAGAGGGGAAGAACGACATGCGCCCAACGCCCCGAGTCAGCATTTCTGCCATGTTTGCTCGTCTCTATCAGGCCTTGCAGCGAAGGAGCACCGAAACGCAGCGTGCCACTCATCTGCAGAACCACGCGCAGGTTGACTTGTGCGATCCACTGACGGTTTGTTCCGCCACTCTTGTTCGCTGCGGCCCTACTGACGGCCCTAGACCATGGCGAACACAACGTGCACGATCGGCGTGGACCTCGGCACCACATACTCCTGCGTTTTTGCGAACGGCAAGCCGGTTCCGATAGAATATGGCGATGTACAACGATCTGCTGTGCGAGTATCGCGGACCAATTGGACATTAGTGTCAGCTTCTGACATTGCCGACGCCAAGAGGCCACATTTGACCCTCTGGAAGAGAATCCTCGGACGCGGCAGCGAGGACGGTCGGCTGGCACGAGACGTCGAGTCTATCCCCGCCGCAGAATTGAGCGAACACGGCGCACGATATAAGGTTCATGACCAGTACGTCGAGGCGGAAGAGGTTGCAGCGTTCATACTCGGTCGAATCAAGGCTGCAGTAT